TTCTCTCCTACTACCTTTACATGCATTCTCAGGATGGAACACAGGTTTGTGTTGGGCTTGTGTGATAAGAGCCTTTCAACCTACTCAGCCATCCTGCTGGCCCTAGAGTTCTTCTGTTTTGTGGATATCAGCCCATTGTTGAATGATTACAGGGATTTCTGTTTTTTCCAGGGTCATCACTCTTGTTTCCTTTGCTGGGCAGGAGCTTTTTAGTTTGATGTGATACCATTTGTCTATTTGGGCTTTTATTTTCTGTGCTTTTAAAAGGTTCTAGGCTGAAAATATCCCTGCTGATTCCAATATCCTGAAGCATTTCCCAGTTTCTTCCAGTAGTTTCAGGTCTTAATCCATTTTGAGTTGATGGGAGGAGTCCAGTTTCATTCATTGCATGTAGATACCCAATTTTGCAAAGTGTGTACTTAGCGTGTGTGTGTAAAATCAGCTGTGTCTGGGTGCATGGCTTACCTCTGGGATCCTTAATGTGGTTCTATGGTCTGTGTGTTTGATTTTATGCCCATACATAATAATAGACAATGAGGGTTTTTTTCCAGTCCATATATAGTCTTTTTTTCAAATCTTTCAGTGTTGGGAATTGAGCTTAATATGCTAGCTTTTCATTTTTTGTTTCTGCTTCAGTTTCTTTTATTGATGTAATATGCATTGTGGCCACTTTCACTTTTTTTGGTGGGGGGGGGCATCTCGTAACTCAGGCTGGCCGTGAATTCCTCCTGCCTTTTCTTCTTGAGTGCTGGGATTACAAATGTGTGGCCCTAACCTTAACTCAGCTGAATTTTCACTTCCCTACTTAAAAACAAAACAAAACAAAACAAAAAAACTGTAGAAAATAGGATTTAAAAAAAATTTTTTAATCATTTTTATTTTATGTGTATGAGTGTATTGCCTGCATGTATGTGAGTGCACCCGTGTCATGCAGTGCCGCAGAGGTCAGAAGAGGGCTTCAGATTCCCCTGGAACTGGAGTTAAGGATGGTTTGTAGCCGCCATGTGGGTGGCTGGGAATTGAACTCGGGACCTCTGCAAGTTAAGTCAGTGCTCTTAACTGCTGAGCCATCTCTCCAGCCCGTGAATAGGAGTTTTTAGGTTTGCTTTAATTTGCTATTGGGTTATAGCAATGCTTCTGATTTTAGCACCCGTGACACCACTTGGCATAGTGCTCAGCAAATGTGCGTGCGTGCATGTGTGTTTTCTCTGGTGCCAGGCTGAATACAGGGCTTCTCATATACCAAACAGACACTCTACCGCTCACCTCCTTCTCCTCGTTCTCCTCTTCCAACCCCTTTTCTTACTCTTCCTTCCAATCCAAGGTCTTGCACATGCTAGGCAGTGCTCTTATCACTGAAGTAACGAACCTAGATTTATGATTTTTGTAAAAAGCTAGCTCTTAGATTTGGCCATGTTAATATCTAATGCCCTTGAAGGCTGAGGAGAACTGTTTGTTGCTCAATGTGCAGTGCCTTTTGCTTTGTGGAGAGAAGTCTTTAAATTTTTTTTTAAAAAACAACAACAAACTTTTATTAAGATAAAATGCACACACTAACCTGTGCAGATCTTTATATATAGTTTGAATTGTGACATATCTGTATCTGTGTTTTTACCACCCAGTCAGTATATAAAATGTTTCCATCACTTCCTCATCTTGACTGCCTCTTCACTCCTTGGGCAGCAACAGCTGTTTTACTTTATTTTATTTATTTTATTTTATTTATTTATTTTTTTTGTCTTTTTGAGACAGAAGCTAAAGGGCTGAAGAGATGGCTCTCAGTGGTTAAGAGCACTTCTTGTTCTTGCAGAAGACCCAGGTTCAATTTCTAGAACCCACATGGTGGCTAACAACAGTCCATAACTCCAGTTCCAGGGGATCCAGAGCCCTCTTCTGACTCCACAAGCATTTCATGTTATGGGTGTGCTTACATACATGCAAACAATGAATTCATATCATACACATAAAATAATAAAATATTTTTAAAAAGGTAAAAGCTAAAATTGTGCAGAAAAATTTAACAGTGAAAAAGCTATCTTGTTTTTTGTTAAAACATTAAAAACTTTTCATTTCCATGTCTTGATAGCTAATAACATTTTATCCCTTGCACATTTGATGCCATGAATTATCTCCAAAGGTTCCTTTAAATCTGTGACGTTTCTCTGAATCACTTCCTCTAGGGCATCATTACCCTTTTTCACCACTACCACTGTCCTTAAAATGGATGAGTTGAGTTTCTCTGGCTGTGCGAAAGCTCTTAACCTGGTGGTGTCAGCGTGACTGCTCAGCTCTTTCTTTTGTAACTGTATTTACACAGGACCCAAGTTCCACCCCCAGTACCATAGCTTTGGACATCCTTACTGCGCTTTTCATCTCCGTTGGTTGGTCCTTCTCTTGAGATTTTCCATGTTCGTAAAAATGGCCTGTGCGTTTATCACTGAGACCCAAAGTTATAGACTATACAGTGACAAATCAGCAGCAGACTTGGAAAGAAAGGGTGTGATTGGTCATGAGCAGGGAATCATGAGCCTTATCTGTTATGCAGTGATTTTCAACTAAAGACCTGACAGTGAAGTTTGTATTTCATGTAATTACAGTTACTATCTAATATTTAATTGATAACTGCAATTAGCCATGCTGTTGGGGAAATAGTGTTAATCCCTGCTGTGAATCACAGTAATGAAAATTTGTGTGTATCAGAACCATACACAGCAAAACTACCTGTGATGTCTAAAAAATGTTTTATTTGCATTTGGCAAAAATTTTGAAGTAGCTAATGGAACTGAGTGAGAAACTCGTACAGTATTCTGTAGTGCCCGTTAAGCCATTCTCTGTTTTGGGCTGGAGAGATGGATCAGTGAGTAAAGCACTTTCTGTGAAAGCAGGAGGACCTGAGTTACATCCCTGTGCCATGCAGAGCCAGGCCCCTGGTATGTATCTGTAACTCCAGTGTACCTACAGCAGGATGAAGAATGAGGCTGGAGAGTCCCCAGAAGCCTATGGGCCAGTAAACGTGGTGTTTGCAGAGGCAAATAACCAAGAGAACCTGCCTCAAATAAGGTAGAAGATGAGGAGTGATTACCTGAGGTTCTCTGTCCCCCCCACACACTGGTGGACTCATGAATGTGGACATGAATCTTCTGTGCCTGGCAGAAAACCTGAGTTCAGTTCCCCAGCACCAAATAAACAAGGTATGGTGGCACATGGCCGTTATGCCAGCACTTGGGAGCTGGGGGCAGGAGGATCAGAATTTTAAGGTCATTCCCAGCTACATTGGGGTTCCAGGCCAGCCTAGGATAATACTTTCTTTTTTTTAAGAATAAAGATTAAGATCTTGGAGAAATTTTTAATCCGTGTGTGTGTGCGTGTGTACACATTCCTGTGTGTATTCACCCTTCTTTAGTCCACCCCAGACTAAGGTTAAAACTTGAGAGTAGAGTTGTGGCTCATTTCTGTCATTGTGTTTTTCTACTTTGTTGAGCAACCAATGACTGAAATCTTTGTGGACTGATTGTTTCTGGCCTCTAGTTGGGGGCCCTCACAAATTCTCTTGTAAATGGCTTGGATGGTTATTTGTTTATTGTTGTGACAGAGGGATAATGGTGCTGTAGATGAAGCGGTGTGCTTTTTTTTTTTTTTGCAGATAAATGAAGAGGGACAAGTGGGGAGGTTTGTATAGTGCAAAAGGACTGGTCTAAGCTGCTGCTTAAAGTGCAGATTTTACAGCTAATGCAGTCAGCACAATATATTTATCATCCAGCTTCAGTTGATTTTGTTACATGGGAAATCTTGTGTCTGTACTTACCATACCCACTTTTACATTATTTTCAAGTTGATTCCAGTAAAGATTTCAAGACATTTGTTCTAGTTTCTTTCTGTTGCTGTGATTTAAGAAAAGTACAGTTTGAAGTTTCCTCTTCCCAAGTGACTCCAGGTGTGTCACACTGACAGTAACAACAAATCAGCCCAACATTGTTAGAATATTTACGTTTTGTTAGATTGCTTTCTAGAAAAGTGTTATCAATTTATGTTTGACAGGGATAACATTTTGAAAAACCCTTTAAAAAATCTTAATGTAATAGGTCAGATGCATTTATTCCAATTTTTTGTGGTAATAGAAAAAAAAAATTTAGTACAGTTAATTTGACCATACTTATCTTCTAGCAGCAAACTTTTAATCTTCTCATTAGTACATTCCTCAGAGGAGTGCTGTGCCTGTTAGGGTGATCATGTGACTTTCTGTCCAAACTAGGCACAAGTAACACAAATGCTGCTCTAGTGGGTGGAAATCATAGCTGTTGGCAGAGGGAGACTGTTTCCTCTTCCACGCCTGACAGTACACATAAAGCACATTACCAGAAAGTGACAGTAAATGGCAGCTTTTTTTTCACATGTTCATGTTTTCCAGGTGTGGTTGTATATTTCAGTCTTCATCTATAAAGGATTGTTTCCAATCTGTAATGTAGAAATGCATCCTAAGTTAACAGCTTGCATTTTCTGTGTGTTTTTGGAGCTGACAATGACTCCCTATCATCATTATTATGATTGTTATTATATTATATTTTAAAGATGTATACATGTATGAAGGTGTAAGGGTGCCCTCAAAGGCTAGAAGAGGGTTTTGGATCCCCTGGAGCTGGAGTTACTGGCAGTTGTGAGCCACTTGACTTGGGTGCTAGAACTAGATCCTCTGTAAGAGCAGTGCACACACTCAACTACTGAGTCATCTCTCCAGCCCCGACTCTGTATTTTTAAAATAGCACATTTAATGATTTACTTATGTATTATTTATTGTGTGTGTGTGTACATGTGTATACCACAAATAGAGGTCGGAAAACAACTTGTGAAGAGAGTTGGTTCTCCTTCCATCCTGTGGGCTCCACAGATTGAGCTCAGGTCCTCAGGGTTGTTGGAAAGTGCCTTTCCCTGCTCAGCCATGTGGTGGGTGGGCCCCAAGTAGTATAATTTATAAATGAGAGTTTATGTTTGTTTACTTGTAGCTGGAGAATGCTGGAGATCTTAAGGATGGCCGTCAGCACTACGAAGGCGCTGTTGTCATTTTGGATGCTGGAGCTCAGTATGGGAAAGTCATAGACCGAAGAGTTCGGGAACTTTTTGTGCAGTCTGAAATCTTCCCCCTGGAAACACCAGCATTTGCCATAAAGGAACAAGGATTTCGGTGATTTTTCACTATGTTTTTATGAGATTGAGTCTAGATTTTGGAATTTCTTTTTTTTTTTTTTTAACAGTGACAAAAGTGAAGATTTATTTACCATAGCCCTCAATTGATATAACACCTAAAATGATTACATTCAAAAATGTATCCTACCTTCTAGTGAAATTACTCTAATTCATTCAAGAAAAATAGTCCGTGTCTTCACAGCAAATCAAGTGTTATGAGACAGAATCACAGTTTTTTTTCTAAATTATTTATTATTTTTCTTATTTTATGTGTGTGAGTGTATTGTTGCCTCCATATATGTCAGTGCATCCATGTCATGCAGTGCCCATGGAGGTCAGAGGAGCATGCCAAATTTCCCTGAAACTGGAGTTAATGGACGGTTGTTAGCTGCCATGTGGGAATCAAACACAGGCCCTCTGCAAAAGCAGCCAGAGAGAGCTCTTAACCAAGGAGCCATTTCTCCAACCCTAGAATCACAGTTTTGAAACAAGAACCCCAGAATGTAGTCATTAACAGTGCCATTTATATCTGGCTCTCAGAACTCAGATTACCACATTAAACCCTTTTCAATATCTCAGCAGTTGACATGAGTAGTCATTTTCTCTCCCACAATAATGTCAGCCATAGGCATGGGCTCACCTCTGTAAATCTATCCACTGAATAGTTGCCTATTTAAGTGCCAAGGACATTGTAAAATCTTAGTTTATAGGAGAAGCAATGGGTCCTCACCAGGGTCAGCTTCTATAGAAGAAATACTATGTATAAATTGGCTCAAGAATGGTCAAGCTATTTTCCACGTTATTTGGGTTAAAGAGTTTTTCTCTTCAGCTTTTCTAAAACCCAGATTACAAGCAGAAACACCTTAAGGTCGTACTAAGAATCAGTGTACTATAATAGCTTTCCTTTATAACAGGAAGGGCTCAATTTGGGCCCTTATGGGCGGGCGGGTTTCGCGGAACGCCAGCTGCTGGCTGGCGCCTGTCTCTCCCGAGCCGCTGGGGCGGGTCCCGTGTGCCGCGTTGCTGGGGTGTGCGTGTGTCGCGCACCGCGTTGCTGAGGCTCTCCACGACTACTGGATGCTGGCGACTCTACTGATCGCTGTGTCTCCAGGCGGGTTCCGTTCCAATCTACCAGGCACTTCCTCTGGGTTTGAGATCTGTCAGCTGCCGGGTTACGAGGGGAGGTGCAGGAACTGCGAAAGCAGGGTCTTCGTGAGTCGTTGTTTACAAAAGGACAGCCCCCTCTGGAGAGATGCAGGATTCAATGATACAGCTTCAGACACAGCTTCTGATGCAACTCCGATTTATTAAGGGGAAACCAGGATATTTATACTGTGGGGGCAGTGGCAAAAGCCTTAGTGGATAGGTGCTTTTAGGATGCCCCATTTACATGTGGTGGTGGGCTTCCACCAGGCTGCCAGACATTTCCTGATTATCACACAGGAAAACCTGGCAGTTCCTATGCCAGAGGCCATGTATCTGTGGCGGCTACTTCAAAGATGAGTCAGGAAGAGAGTAGGGGGGCGCCCTGCTGAGAAGAGGAGTCCTCCCATTCGCGCCGAGCCAACATGCGGCTATCCGAACATGGAAAGACTACAACCCAAAACAGCAGGAGTCCCTAACAGGCCCTAAAGCAGAGGAGGTAAAAATGAGGAGAAGATACTGAAAACTTTTAGTCTAGAAGAGAATTACATTTTTTGTATGCATCAGATTTATGATTATAGTATATTTTGGGGAAAAAACTATATGTTTAATTTTTTTTAAGTGTACTTTTTAAAAAAAATTATTAACTACATGATTAGAGGAAGCATTTCATTACAGCTTTAACATATTCAGTAACCACTCCAGAGCAAGAGTACACTGCTTTCACAAGTGGCTGTAAGTTTCTTGGTTCGCAGTTGAATTAATACAGTTATACAATATTGAACTCAGTATAAGCCCTGTAAGACATAAAATTGAATGAGTTTTTAACCTTTAAAAAAGATCTCCACTTCATTTTAGAATATATTGTTCCTTGCAGAAAGACTCATTGTTTTTGCTACTAACACTGAGATGTTGGTGCATGCATCTCTAATCTGTATGTATCTGATTATTACTAGTCATAATCAGTTGCACTTGGATCCTTGGCACCTGTGTATGTCTATAAAGTCATCGGGTAAATTTCAATGGTAATGTTTATCACCTCTACTAATGAACATGATGTAAATTTCCATGCTTCCTCCTCAAATATACATTTTTAAAATTTGTTGATTTTCCCAACCTATCTTATTCAACTATACACCCACTTCCCAGATGGCAGCCTTCCATAGCCTCCCTCCCTCTGACAAGAGCCCTTATACTCTGTTATCCCTGCTACTGTCTGTTGTGTTGTTGGAACTGTGGCACCCCCAGCCATTCCCCACTACTTGTCTGTCTGGTGAATATAGTCATCCTATTTAGAGGTCCTCTTTTTAGGAAGGTCAGCTGTTCCTCATCCAGCAGCAATTGGTTTTCAGTATTCCTTTAGATAAGATTGGGGTGTGCTGTTCATTTACCCAGTTTTATGCTGGGTTACTATCTCTCATGTGCCACATTCCAAATGAAGATCACCAGCACCACTTAATTGAAAATAGCAAGGTAAAATTTTATTTCGGCCAACTGGACTGTCTATGTCAGGGATGGAAGCAGCCTCGAGCATCAGCCAGCCAGAGTTTTTATAGGATGTTCAAACAGAACATCAGTGGGCCCAATCATCATGGTTCAAACTCAAGCACATATTTGCATAGGTCAGTAAAAGTTTAAAACTATT